TTCAGCATCTCAGTGATCCTGTGATGTCTTCAGCATCTCCGTGATCCAGGCCTGGAAAAGTCATGGAAAAAAATAAAATCCCAAAAGTTTTGTTTTGGAAAAGTCATGGAAATGTGTTATATTCATATTTTCTTGTCGTTCATTTACGCTGAGTTGCCAGCCAGCGTTTCTCAGATTGGAGTGAGACAAGGAGAAAATGTGATGTGATCTTCGCAATAGAACATCTTTGATGTGTCGAGTCTTGGCCAATCAGCGTTCAGATGTCTACAGCGTCTTCATTTCCCTCCGTTAAAGTTTGAGTTACTTTATGTACCGTTATCGTTCACACTTGCTGGGTTAAGTTAATGTCCACTGCATGTGGAACTTTGTCGACTGTTAACGTTCGTCATCGCAATTTAGAAGGAAAAAACGTAGCGTGATGAAACATGCAGCCCCCCGTGTTCCGGTTCAGTTCACGCGGTCACTCATTAACGTTAAACCGGAACACCGGCGCATCTGGTTGCAGGTTGTTTTGTTTAACTCAAAGTAGAATGAGGATGATTTCGTGGTCAGAATAACTTTCATGACCACGAAACATGAGGCCCAGATACTGATGAGATGATGAGGTCAAAGAGCTTCAGGAAGAGGAGGCTGGTTGTGTAGCGCAGCTTGACGCAGGGCTGAGCTGTGAGTGGAGCTGGGCCTGGATAAAGGTGGAGGTGGGCCTGGATAAAGGTGGAGCTGGGCCTGGATAAAGGTGGAGGTCTAAACAGACGTGAGTACAGCTTCCTGCTGTCAGTGTTTTAAATACATTGATAAGGCAGGCTATGCTAAATGCAGCCTCTGCTCCAATGAGATGAACTACAGCAACAAGGGCTCACATGTCCTCTCATCACACTGTTCACTGTGATGACCACAGCCAGTGGACCAACAGGCCCAACAGTCCCACGTTGCTCTCAAGAACCCTGAAGTAATGAGAGGGTTAAGGAGCCTGTACCTTCATTTCAGCAGGTTGCTAATGCAGAGGTGTGTATAGATCACAGCTGCTATTTTACTCTTGATAAACTACCATAGCCAGAGTAGATTATCATTTTCATTTAAATAATGGAACTGGATTGAATGCATATTAATTTCAAATAGAAGATGGACCACAATTCTAACAGCTGTACAGTAACAGTGGAAGTTAATATGAAGTCATACAGTAACAGGGTTCAATGAAACCTGTGCACTACAAAAGGGAAAGCAACATGTGCACTAGCTGGATGCTACTACCTACTAAAGCTCTTATTGATGTCAGTGTTATGAATGCCTGTCAACCAGAATATATTTATAAATGTTTATTTTCTTAATCAAACTATTGTCTCATTCGTTTGTGTCATTTAAGGTATACTGGATGCTTTGGAATTCTCATTGGTAGTTTAAATACTACATTTTCTCACTTTTTCATGTATACACCGAGATTTCACAAAATGTTTGGTCATGGAGATTTGGTTTAAAGTCACGGAAAAGTCATGGAAATCCATTGGTCAAAATGTGTATGAACCCTGCTTCAGCATCTCCGCGATCCTGTGATTTCTTCAGCATCTCTGTGATCCTGTGATGTCTTCAGCATCTCCGTGATCCTGTGATGTCTTCAGCATCTCTGTGATCCTGTGATGTCTTCAGCATCTCCGTGATCCTGTGATGTCTGGACATTGACGGGTTCACTGCAGTCAGAGAACACGGAGTAATAGCAGCAGCTCTCCTGCTAGCTCTAAGTCTTCCTGTCTCGTTAGCATCCATCAGTAGTTCTGCTATCACTTCTTCCTCTCTGTCCCTCCTCCAGTATTCTCTACAAGACCAAGCTGCCCTTCATCGTCGCCATGAACAAAGTGAGGTCACTTCCTGTCAGCCATGTGACTTTTCTTTTACAGTTTCATCTTGTTGATTCGTTGACTATTTGTTCTTGTTGCAGACCGACATCATCGACCACAGCTTCGCGGTGGAGTGGATGCAGGACTTTGAGGTCTTCCAGGACGCTCTGAACCAGGAGACCTCGTATGTGAGCAACCTGACGCGCTCCATGAGTCTGGTGCTGGACGAGTTCTACACCAACCTGAGGGTAAGAGGACCAGGAGGCCCGATGCAGGAAAGACTCACCGGAGAGACGGATCACATTGAAGAAGAACGCAGAGTAGAGCCACATTACGGCTGTGGACGTACTTTAGACTCCCAAGAGAATCAATACCAGTTTAAGAGAACGCTTTATTCACAATGTTTACACCTCTTTAGCTTTCTGAGGGACTGAAGCTGTTCTGATCTCTTCAAACACACCAGACTCCATTCACTAAAGCACTGATTCTACCTCTCATAGCACATGATGCTGCTCTACTGCTGCCTCCATCTGCTGCTACTACTGTAGTAATACTCTGGTACTGGTACTACTGTAGTACTACTCTGGTGATACTCTGGTACTACTGTAGTAATACTCTGGTACTGGTACTACTGTAGTACTACTCTGGTGATACTCTGGTACTACTGTAGTAATACTCTGGTACTGCTACTACTGTAGTGGTACTACTGTAGTGATATTCTGGTAGTGGTACTACTGTAGTAATACTATGGTACTGGTACTACTCTAGTAATACTCTACGTATACAGGCATGTTTACCACTAGTAGAACCCAACAGAAGATTAAAGAGGGTCGGTAGAACCCAGCAGGAGATTAAAGGGGGTCGGTAGAACCCAGCAGGACAGTAAAGGGGGTCGGTAGAACCCAGCAGGAGAGTAAAGGGGGTCGGTAGAACCCAGCAGGACAGTAAAGGGGGTCGGTAGAACCCAGCAGGACAGTAAAGGGGGTCGGTAGAACCCAGCAGGACAGTAAAGGGGGTCGGTAGAACCACGGTTCTAAAAGTGGTGGTGTCTCCGTGTCTGCAGGTGGTGGGCGTGTCCGCGGTGACCGGAGGCGGATTGGACGAGCTGTTCGTTCAGGTGGAGGACGCTGTGGTGGAGTACGAGAGGTTTGTTTCACTCGTTCATCAGATGGTTTGTCGTCATATTTCTTTATTATTTACACATTTAAATGTATTTTATTCTCTTGTTTGTCTCTAAACTGTTAAACACCTAATTAAATTAAGGACAAAATGTTTCCACTGAAACAATATATATATATCCATCCATCCATCTTCCTCCTCTTATCCGGGGTCGGGTCGCGGTGGCAGCAGGCCAAGCGGGCTGACCCAGACCTCCCTCTCACCGCAACATGTTCCAGCTCATTCTGGGGGATCCCGAGACGTTCCCAGGCCAGCTGGGAGATGTAATCTCTCCAGCGTGTTCTGGGTCTTCCCCGGGGTCTCTTCCCAGTTGGACGTGCCTGGAAAACCTCCAGTGGGAGGCGTCCAGGAGGCATCCTAATTAGATGCTGAACCACCTCAGCTGACTCCTTTCGACGCGAAGGAGTAGCGGCTCGACTCCAAGCTCCCTCCTGATGACCGAGCTCCTTACCCTATCTCTAAGGCTGAGCCCGGCCACCCTACGGAGGAAACTCATTTCGGCCGCATGTAGCCGCGACCTTGTCCTTTCGGTCACGACCCAGAGTTCGTGACAATAGGTGAGGGTAGGAACGTAGACCGAGTGGTAAATTGAGAGCTTTGCCTTCCGGCTCAGCTCCCTCTTCACCAAGACGGTCCGGTGCAGCGCCTGCTTTACTGCTGCAGCTGCACCGATCCGTCTGTCGATCTCCCGCTCCATCTTACCCTCACTCGTGAACAAGACCCCGAGATACTTGAACTCCTTCGCTTGAGGTAGGCCCTCCGTCCCCACCTGGAGGGAGCAATCCACCTGTTTCCGGCAGAGCACCATGGCCTCAGATTTGGAGGTGCTAACTCTCATCCCCGCCGCTTCACACTCGGGAGCAAACCGCCCCAGTAAATGCTGGAGGTCACGATCCGAGGAGGCCAACAGGACCACATCATCTGCAAACAGCAGAGAGGCGATCCCGAGACCCCCGAACCTGACGTTCTCCACCCCCCGGCTGCGCCTAGATATCCTGTCCATGAAAGTCACGAACAGGACCGGATAGATATATATATATAAATGTATTTATTATATATTATATAATATATTTATTATTTGATAAATTCTCTTCTAACGGAGAAGTCTGAGTGATGAACTGAACTCTTCTTCTTTCCTCAGAGACTATCGACCCGAGTATGAAAGACTCCGTAAACAGTTGGTGAGTATCTGTCCTCGCATGTCTCCTTGTTTTGACCCTCTGTACCCCAAAACATGGCAACATTCTGACGGTCTTTGAACACATCATGTGTGACGAACGCTCGAACACTAAGCTTAACATTTTGATATTTGTCTCGTTTAAAATCTCTCCATAAATAAAGCGTTTACTTTAACCAGAAGTCATGATTGGAGAGGAGAGAGGGGAGAGGGGAGGAGGAGAGGAGAGGCTGAAACATGTTAATAGTTTAATTTTTATAACGTGTAGAGACTCATTTTTTTCCAATACTGGAAACACTTGTAGACACCTGAAAAATGTTGGATATATAGATTCCATATTTTGTAAAATTATTTATCAAAGAATTTCAACTTGCATTTTTCTGATTGATGTCATAATAACTTTTATTCTGCACTAAATACATGTTCTAGTTCGCTCTACTTCTACTCATGATTGTTCCATTTCCACAGAGGAGCAGGACTTTCATTTTGTCGTGAAAATCAAAGAGGGTTAACTGACTTCCTGTCCCATCAGGCGGATGCTCAGAGCAGGAAGCAGCAGGAGCAGCTGGAGCGACTCAGGAAGGACCTGGGAGCCGTGGACATGACGAGCACACCTTCATCAGGTACAGCCGACCGATGACGAGGCGGTTTTTACTGGTGACGCTGTAGTTTACACCTCTATCATTTCTCAAGAAGAACTGTTTGCCCCCGTTTGTCCAGTTAAAGTGTTTCAATGTGAAGCCGCAGGAAATGCTGTGTTAGCATTAGCATTAGCAGTGAGATGTAACGGTGAGCTGTAACATTAGCTAGCTCAGTGCTACATGAACTAGCCGTATCCAGTATAGATGCAGGCTTGTTGCTCTGTATTTGATAACGTTGTATTCTTTTAACCGATTGACTTCCTGCTTCCTGTCTGCAGACGGAGCCGACACAGCCGGGCCCAGTGACCTCATCATGACACGTGGTAACCCTGACGACAGCGAGGAGGACGAGGACAGCGACATGGACGACATCGATCACAGCGGTGAGAAAAGAAAACGGCCGTTTACACACCATAAAAAAACTAAAAGAATCCTCAGTGATCACCTGCACACTGTTTAACAATACTACAGAGCGCTTCTATGTTGCCTCCACATGGTTCTCAACATGGTCCTGGCTGAGCCAACGGCTAGCAGCTAACAGTACGAACGGTGTTAACTTAATGCCTCACATGCACTAAAAACTACGCTCACATGCACTAAAAACACGCTCTCGTGCACTAAAGGGCACGTTCACATGCACTAAAGGGTACACTCACATGCACTAAAGGGCCGCTCTCATGCACTAGCATGCCCTAAAAGGCATGCTCACATACACTAAAGGACACGCTCACATGCACTAACATGCACTAAAGGGCACGCTATCATGCACTAAAAGGAACGCTCACATGCACTAAAAGGAACGCTCTCATGCACTAAAAGGAACGCTCTCATGCACTAAAAGGAACGCTCACATGCACTAAAAGGAACGCTCACATGCACTAAAAGGCACGCTCATGCACTAAAGGGCACGCTCTCATGCATTAAAGGGCACGCTCTCATGCACTAAAATGAACCCTCGCATGCACTAAAATGAACGCTCGCATGCACTAAAGGAACCCTCACATGCACTTAAGGGCACGCTCACATGCACTAACGGACACGCTCACATGCACTAAAATGCACTAAAGGAAGGCTCACATGCACTAAAGGAACGCTCGCATGCACTAAAAGGAACCCTCACATGCACTAAAGCAGTTGTCCCCAAACTAAGGCCCGCGGGCCGGACACGGCCCGCCTCCACATT